TAACCTAATCTGAATGTAAAAGTGATATATCTAAATTAATAAAATATCCAACGTATATTTTATCAAATACCACAATAAAATTTATTGAAGATTTCACGGTTTAATTCGTTTCTATATTTTTATTAAACGTACATCTTCACATCAATTTGTGTACAACGGTTTTAAAGTGCACTGAGTGCGCACCAGCTCTGTCAGTGAAAAACGTTATAAGGTATCTCACAGACACCTATTCATTGTAAATATGCGCGAGTCGTGTCTCGATATAACGAATTATAAATTCAACTTGGATGCCGGAGCGAGGAAATCGCTCAAATTTCTTCGATCATAAACGGATTGCGATAATATTTCACGATTCGAAATCTTGCTAAACCATGCTAACCTTAGCAACGAACGTCCAGGCGTTGAAAAAGAACTGAAAAGAGCTTCCATTCGATGTTACCAGGACTGCGGTCCACGACGCTATAAATGCTTCGAAGCGTTTGAGCGACCAATCAGAACAAAGAATTTTACGAATTGACTAATCAAAGAATGCTTCGAAGCATTTGTAGCGGCAAGTGGACCACCGCAGTCCTGGTAACATCGAATGGAACATGATATAATTCCACCATAGAATGGAAGCTCTTTTCAGTTCTTTTTCAACGCGTGGATGTTCGTTGCTGAGGTTAGCATGGTTTACCAAGATTTCGAATCGTGAAATATTATCGCAATCCGTTTATGATCAAAGAAATTTGAGTGATTTCCTCGCTCCAGCATCCAAGTTGAATTTATAATTCGCTGTATCGAGACACGACTCGCGTATATTTACAATGAATAGGTGTTGTTTGTGAGATAAGTTAAAAAACCGATCTCTGTCCACAGGATGGCTCCGAGATACGAGTTGGCCGTCGGCCTCAATAAGGGTCACAAAACGACGAAGATTCGCGTGTCTAAAATCAAAAATATACCCGCGAAGGAAAGGACCAAGACCGTATGTGTACGACCGTCCAGGATAAAAGGGGTAAATGGAAAATGTATAATCCACAATTCCCTTAATTGCCGCGTTCAGTAGAATGTTTATTTTGCAAATGTTGAAAGTTTTCTTTGCTGAGGACTATTTCTCTAAAAGTATTGATCTAAAAGTATAATCTAACCAACGACGCTAAGAAAACTTTCAATAGTCACAAACATTCTGTTGAAAATAGCCATTATTGCGTATACAGCGTATTGAACTGATACATCATAATTTATTACAAGAAGCTTATTTATCTTCTCTTTCTCTCGTGTTATTATTCACGTGTTATTATTCATCCTTGATTTCTTAATTGCAGAGACAAACCAAGCACAGCAAGTTTGTAAGAGATCTGATCCGGGAAGTCACAGGACATGCCCCTTATGAGAAGCGTGCAATGGAATTGCTAAAGGTGTCAAAGGACAAGCGCGCCTTGAAATTCTTGAAGAGAAGGGTAAATGTTTTTTCTCGCAAGTTTTAGATAACAGCAGGTTTCAGCAGAACTATAACAGTGTCATATAATTTCATAATGCTTCGAGTTCTGCTTTATAAATTAATGGAATATCGATAGCCGAATAAAAAAATATGCTAAAGGATTTAAAGCTAAATGATCTTGTGTCCGTGATGTTAAAAATTGCTCTGAGATCTCAGGTCGTTTTCTAAAAAGAATCACATTGGTCAAATGGTTGAATTGTTCATCATATGACTTGTTAATTCTTTCTTTGTCCAAGAACTCGGAGAACGATTTCTATCACCATAGACAGGAAGCTTAAAAGATCCTAACAATTTCAAAATACAAAAATCTAACTATAGTGATTAAAACAATTTCTGTAGACTCGAATTCTTAAAATAAAAATAATAATAATATTGTTCAGTACTTTTAGTACTCCAAATTAGTAATTGATTACTGTCTTTTAATATTAAATTAGTCTATATTAGATTTCATAAACGATTTAATAATTTTGTAAACGTGCTGCAGGGGAGGAGTCAGTGTTGCAGAGCATACTTTCTTATTAAAAATATCAAAACTTTTTTTAGGGAGCGAGAAGTAGAGATTTTTAAACGTCTTTTTTTTATTTTTTAAATAAGATGTGTTTTTTATTTTCTAGTTGGGTACACACATCCGTGCCAAGAGGAAGCGAGAGGAGCTCGGAAATATTCTGGTACAGATGAGGAAAGCAGCTCATCATTAATTATATCCGTTAAAATTGTATACCGCTATATGTACTTGAATAAATCAATACTTCGATATCGATACATAGGGTACATTATTTAAGAATACTCGATGATTTTACCACCTTTGATTCAAATAAATTAAGCAAGCACTTGACAGCCCATTTACTCGTTTTATTTTTGCAACCTATTTTCGTCTGACTTGGTAGAGAAGCTACATATATTGTTTTAATTATCGTTATAAAAGACTTAAATAGTAGAAATAATTTTCAATAATTCTAAAATTAGTTTTCGACAATTTAAAATATAATAAAAAGTTGTTTATGCAGTGCTATAATTAAATTAATAGCTAATAATAAGGGACGAAACAAAATTTTATTAACACTATAGATAAAATTTGTTTATCAATGTTAAATAAATGTCAATTGTGACAAAAAAATAGATTGGAAGACAATCGATATTAGTAGTATTTAGTATTAACTTTGGTATAATATTCAAAAATGTTGGACATGATTTGCTAAAATTTTACATACCTCTTGTACTAGATATACCTAAAGTAATGCATTTTCTTTCATCAGTTTCCGTGGTGTAGTGGTTATCACATCCGCCTAACACGCGGAAGGTCCCCGGTTCGATCCCGGGCGGAAACATTCTTTTATTTTGAAGAAAAAGGCAATATATTTTTTTCATTTTTATCATTATTAATCATTTTAATCATTATTAATTATTACAATACTTACTAAACGTAATCCATCGTTTTATTGAAATGTATCTACGTTTTTGTTTTGCAAATGTTATCAAACAAAATAACAACTAAAGCTACTAATATAATAAATTTCTTTATAATTTACAATCTGCAAAAATAAAAAAAAATCTTTATTAATTATAAAAAAATATGAATCT